TTTCGAAATGTTACCGGATGAAATGATATTACTTGTATGTCAGTATCTTCGTGGTGTCAAAATTCTTTATTCATTTTTCAATTTGAATTCTCGTCTGAATTCGACAATAACTGACTATTGTCATTTTGAGAATCTTACGAATTCCACACATAAACAATTTGACCTTGTTGTAATGCAGATTATTCCTCAAATTGGTCTTTCAATACGATCGTTTGTATTCAATGGACTATGGGAAAATATCATGTGCAACGAACTAAATTCGACATTCTTTCATTTGAAACTATCTTTAAAGGTGATTGTGCAGAAGAATCTCTGAAGAAAGTTCTAGCTGCTAACAATAATCGACTGAAATCTATATCATTTGATAATGATTCAATCGGTTTTATTCTCGATGGAACTAACAATGACGAAGCTGTTTCTTATCCGAACATCGAAGAGTTGATAGTGACCTTAGAGACAGATAAAATGTTAGGATATCTATTCATATTTGTACCACATATTAATCGTTTACATATTGACTTTGATCAATTATCATTTGCTTCAAAATCAACATTAGCGAATGTGTCATCACTTGTTCATCTAAAAGATTTTCGGTTACGTTCGATAAACACACATTGGTCACTAGACGACATTGCTTATATCTTGAGTAAGATGCCATCTTTGCAGCGATTAGAATTGGATCTATGTACAGATGATATAGATCTTGTTAATGGACAGGATTTCATTCGAATTCTACCATCATCACTTATCGAGATTCATTTATTTATTATATATTATTTCGCTGGATTACACTGTGAAGTAGATACTTTGCTGTTTGCATGGCCAACTCATATTCGAATAACATGTTTGCTAGATGAACCAAATGAATATGCAGTAATTCATACTATTCCCTGCGACTTATCTTCAATTATCATTCCAGCAAAAATATCAAAGTACATGTTGGTTGGTTCGAAATATACACAAAAAGTTAAAGATTTAATCATTTTTGGCGAGCAATGTTCAACTGATATACATCAGATAGTGCAACACTTTCATCGGCTTCGCAAGCTTACCATTGGTTCAGAAAACAATTCAGAAACGCGTATGTTTCTTTTTCATAAAAATTTTTTCTAGCGAAAACTTAGATCTTGAAAGTCATATCCACTATAAGAAATCTGTATATAGATAAAGTAGAATGAATTCCTTGACTGACTCAAAATACATAAACAAAATAAAGTCAATTTGTATTTCAGTAGAAACAGAAAGATATCATGAATGGCTAGAGAAAATGAACCATATGACTTCGCACTCGAATGTTTCATCAGAAGAATGTTATAAAATTGAATAATTTGGAATTATTAAGTTATGCAGAAATGCCAAGCTTTAGCTAATACCTGATTTTGAAAGACAACCGTACTCTGATTGAAATGAATGGGAACAAACATATTCAAAAATAAAATTACATATTGATAAATTTTCTTGAAAAGTAAATATGAAGGAATGTTTTAGCTAGACCTCTAGGATTTCAATTGAGAAATTTGACAACACGTCAATTACATAGAAGCTAGTGATCGACTCCAAATTTCTGAGGTAGAGGCTATCAATTGTGCAAAAACGAATATTCGTTTCTTCAGAACAATACAGATTTACTAAGCATAAGATCAGCTCTCGAAGTCAAGTGGTTGTGAAAAACTACTACAGATCTTTTAGTTGTAGCGTATATGGAAAAAATAAAAGACCATATAATTCGAATACCATTGCAAACATGAAGCTATTATTTGGCTTCTCATGAGTAATGATTCTCTTGAACGCTTTCACTGTATCTTCTTCTTAACTCAAAACTGTTGAATAGCAGTATATAGAGTGTGATAAGAATAATAATACAAAACAAAAACTCAATATTTCTATTATGCTTTGATCAAACAGAATATTTTTTCTGGTCTTCATGATATAGCAGATTTTAAAGTATTTTCTTAAAAGAAAACCGCTATCGAATTCTGATTTGAACGCTCATCATTGCCTTCAACAAAGAAACGTTAATTTTTTCTCATATATGAACAAAATCATTTCCGAGAAGAATGTTTAGATGATTGAAAGCTTTTGAACTCATACTTGTCCTAATATTAAGGAACCAATAGACTATAACAACCGTCAAAGTGTCTGTGTTCTTCTTGAGTCTTAATCAAGATATTAGATTTTCAGTACGTTCCTCAGTTTAGAAGCCTAATTTTTTAGACAAGTTTTCATTTGAAACATTGTCTGTATTTAGGTCCCAGTTAGATTAGTTTGCATACAATATTTAAGAATTTTTCGAAACGCAGATATTTTTTCATCAATAGTGTGTAAAATACGAGCCATCTGAACAAATCATATTTCATAAAAATCAAATTAAAAAAGTTTGACATTTTATTTTCCGTAAACTAGTCCAATTGGAATTTCACTATGGAAAAAATTTCAGAAAGCTTTCAATTATATGACCACCATTCTGCGAAAGTATTTTGATCACGTATAAGAAAAAGTAATATTTCTTTATTGAAGTCAATGACGAGAGACTAAGGGAAATGTGCTAATGGTTTTCTTCTGAGAAAATACTTTGAAATATGGTCCTATGATAGAGAAAAAACATATGAAAAGCAATCAGAAGACATTAGATTTTTTTTTTATTGCATTAAATTTTTGGTATACCAAATATGGAGAGTTGTTCCAAGTATTCAATGTGATATGCAAATGGATAATTTTTAGTCAAACACGAAGAAAAAAGAGACACATGCCTTTTTTAATTTTTCTACATGTTTCACATATTATGCTACTAGTATTGATTCCTTTAAACGAATTTTAGTTTTCCGAGTAATTATGATTCATTTTTTACATTTATAGTTACTTTTCAATCAATTCAACCGATTATCTTACATTTACCTCAACTGAAACATCTCTATGTGAAAGGAGTATGTGAAATTTTTCATCTAGTTCAAGCTGCTCCTAATCTTGAGTACTTAAGAATCGGTTTCAATTGTTTAACTATTGCACTCAGTGATGCACGTACATGTGAATTGTTGCAAAAACAAATTGTAGATCTTGAAATTACCCATTTTCAAGAAGTTGACTCTATTCAATTAGACGCCATTGCACAAAAGTTTAATCATCTTCGTGATTTCAGTTTATCTTTTGAAAATCCAAAAGTGTTCGTTGATTCGCTTATTCTGCAAGTACTTGCATTGTGGAGAGATAAAAACCTTCGTAGCTTTTACATCAAAGGTTCGTTAACAGATGAAGTCAGTAAAAATCTTCATCAGTGGCTTATCAGTCATAGTCATTTACTGCAAGAAGATTCATTCATTGTCAAATACGAAAGCAATTGGATTGTTCTATGGCTTCAATGAACTTTCTCTGTCGAAATTCGTAGTCATAAATCAAACCATGAAATCTTATTGATGGAAAAACAAAAACAACACCCTTATTTCATATCATATCGTGAAATTTTTTTTCTGTTTTATAGTCGTTCATATTTTTAGCATAAAAGGTTTTTTTGGGAGAAAGATTCATGATCTAATGATGTGTAATTATTCATCATTCAGTCTATTTGATCTAATTAATTTGAAAAGCCTTGAACATTTTTATTCATAATAATTATATACTAAATTGAAGAAGAGTTTATAAAAATATCACAGAAAAACAAATAAAGTGAATAGATATTTTTTAAAATAATAAACTTCTAAATGTGTTTCATTCTAAGTGAACAAGTACAAACATTGAGCTAACGATAAATGAAATACATTCAACTATATATGATACTGAGCGATCTTGAAACGAGAGAAAAATTGTGAATTTAATTTCTAACAAAAATTTGATCGATTTATTACAGAAGCGTCGACGAACTATGGGCGGCGTGAAGAAAAGAGACTCATACTTACTGTCATACTTGTCTGATTTTAATGAGCTTAAAGAGGAAAATATTGTTCATTTGCTTGTTTGAATGCATTGGCCAATTTGATGAGCGAACAATCAACATTCGAAACCTTTGCCATACATTAAAAGTCTAACTTTTATAAGATATCAAACATCTTTTGATTCAAATCGAACTTCAATATGTCATGATGAATTAACTCAAAAAATTCGAACAGTAAATAATAGTGTTCGATGAAAACATCATCGGTTCGTCTGGAGCACTTTTCAACTTTCAATCCGAGTTAATATGATTCAAACTGATTTAACTCGAAGAAAGGTATTCGAGTGTCAATNGCTGAGGATTCGAAAACATCCAAAGATGTCAATATTCGAGCAAATGAACCCATTTTTTCTGTAAAGAAAGACCACTAGCTGAACTCTAGATCCGTGCAAAAACATGAAGAATTAGTCATGTATTTGGTCAAAATCAACGTAATATGGGGTAGGCAGTCTGTAGTTAGGTTCAAGAGCTCAATGCAAAACATAGATTCTGTTCATCATAATTCTCCTTGTACTTTAAGCAATCGAGCTGAAATTGTGCCTCTGATCTACATGCTTGACGGACTATATGCACACACATTTTCAGGTCTTCAGCATCTATTGTGGCTGAGATCCTCTAGGGGGAGACTTTTGTCGTCTACTGTATGTAAACGTTCTTAGATCATCAGTTATCATAAATTAATGATTCTTATCAATTCAGTTGTGAAATTAGTTCGTACAATAATAATTTATGATCTAAAATAATAAAGAATAAAATTTAACAATAGTATTCATTGTTATCAATGAGTTTAATTTTGTATTGTAATATATTTATAATATTTCGATATATATGAACAAATCAACTTATACAAGATTTATGTCAGATAATAAAAACTTTACAGACATAATTAAAGATTTGTTTTTGTTTTTTAATTTACAAAATACAAATAATTATTTTGAATATTATTTTATTCGATTTTTTCGAATAAACGCTTGTATGTTTATTATGTATTAATTATTTTCAAATTTTATTTTTTCACAAATTTATAAACTTTAAAATATCTATTTAAATAATACAAATAAATTTAGTAATAGAATTAAGAACTAAGTAATGAAACAGGTGTTTGTAGAATAAAATGAAATAATGAACATCGTGAACGTCTATTACAATATTGATCAAGATAACGATATAAATCTCGTACTTTAGCACGTTGGCCTATCAAATAATCATATACTTCGTAGAAGGATTCGATTAAATTCTTATCACCATAAGTTGCATATATCAATGGACGTACAGCTTCAGAAGCAGCTATTAATTGAATTATTGCTAAAGATATATATATATATAGAAAATGAAAGATGAGTGAAAAAGACAATAAATTTATACCTTTTAATTGTCTATCACCATTAAATGCACCACAACCCCAATTTCCAGTTGCAATAGGAAATGCATAATCCGATGTTTGTCCTCTAGTATGAAAACCAGCATAGGCTTTAATTAATTCATGTTTAATAGATTTCATATCATATTGCTTTGATCGATCACGAAAAAACGTAGCATCTATAGCTACTAGATGAGACCATTTTCTTCCCCAATTATCTCTAAATGCAACAACTATCAAAGAATATTTATTTACAATAAAAAGAAACTATTTTTCTGGGAAAATTTCTCTACATGTCTTTGTCTAACTTTAATATTCAATATGTGCAGATTTTATTTAGTATTCTAATAAAAAACCTTAAAACAAGATTTGGTAAAGCTATTGTTCCTTCGTTAAACATAAGTATGGACGTTCACATAAGTAATAATATGTTTCTTACTGAGATTTACTATCGATATAATCTCCATCATATTGAAATGTTTTTGAATAACCTTTGTAAGTTGAATATCGTTCACAACCAATCAAATAGATACATTCATTCGATTCTAATACTTCACAAACAAGTAAACTAACAAGCATTTCAGGACAAATACTAAATCGTATTTCTTCTTGAACACAACCTGAAGTCAATACACCACCACCCTATGTAATAACATGTTGATATTAGAAAATACTATCATTGAATTTTATTACTTACAATATATTTATTGGCAAAATCAACCTGAGTAAAAGGACTATATGAAAAACTACGGAAAAAAGAAAAACTCATATATTTACTTGTAAAACACAATCAATATCTTCGATCCTTTTAATCGTTGTTAAATGCATGGGAATGAGACCATTTGTTGATTTAGACCATTTTGGTACAAGTGGATCTGACAATGCATAACGTCGAAAAGTAATTACACCATTAGGCACTAAATAGAAGAATGATTTAGAAAGTAAAAAAAAAAAGAACATAAATAAAGGCATCATTATGTATCTACTTTGTCTGGTAATACGTTCAAAATAATGTAAAATACATTTGAGTTTTTCAATTTTTTGTAAAGGTCCACGTTGATATAATCTTCAAAAATTGAATTCATAATATAATGTATAAAAAAAAAAGCATCAAAAAGAAAACATATTTACGTATTAAAATTTGGATTTTGAAAACTTTCATATTCTTTCTTTACTTTTGAACCAGAACGATATGGAAATAAACAAAAAAATGCACATGCCAATAATGAAGCAGCTTGTCGTTGTGACATTGTTACTGAACGATTTGATTTGATACGTAATAAAGGTGGCGGCTAATTTAAGAATATATCATTGAAAATATGATAATAAAACAAAATAAAGTAACAATACTCGACTACATATTAGATCGACATTTAATGCAAGTGAACAAATATTTGAAAGAACAGTAGACATAAAATATAAACGTTGTTCATTTGAATATATCTTTAAGAAATATTATTAGTAAATTCTTTTTTTTTATTATTATTATTATATTTGAAAACTTGCTTCATTAATAAGATGTTCAAGACAATCCATATTGTATTGACGTTCAACGCAATTTTCAATTGTTCTCTATTATATGATCAATATATACATAATAGCTTCAAACATTGTTTATATAGATTTTATTCTGATTTTGTTTTGTAATGATAACTCACATTACGAATTCAACTAATAAATTGAATAGAGAATATTATTTTCAACAAAGATTTGAGGTCAAATACAATCTTTAATTTTCTCAAAAGCTATGATCTCTAGAAAATCGAAGATATGATATTTCAGTGTCGAGAATCCGAACAATATTTTTTAACTGACCTACATAAATTTTAAGAGAAATCTTAAAGTTATTTTTTGTCCAGTTTTCCATTAGGAAATAGTGAAACAATCATTTTTGATCACTTCTTAATATCGATATAATTTCGTCAAAAAATATCGTAGAGAGCTCTGAGACATGTCATTCTGTAGAAAATGAATTGTTCTATTGTCCAATGTAATCAAACGAAGCTTTTATTTTTCCTTCAACTTCTTATTGAAAACAATTTTCTCTATTCAAGCTACTATTTGGATTCTTTATGCGAGTTACTACTACGAAAAAAGAGTCAAATAAAAAATATGTAGGATCTATTTATTTGGAGGCACTGTATTTAAATACAGATATAAAAATATAAAATAATTACTTTTAAATCTTCTATAGTTGCTGTATGACTATCACATTTTTGTTTAAGATGACATAGTAATTGACAAATGATAGGCCATTGTAGATGTCCAGTTCTCTTTTTATAAAGAAAATAATCTTATTATAATAAATAATGAATTTTTTCCAACTAACCGAAGTATAATGTATTGAACATGGCATGCGAACATGATGTTCATTCCATGCATCAATATAACGATTATTCTCATTGATTGGTGCAGGTTCACGATTAAGATTAGATAGGTTATATTTAAATGGCTAGTTAATAAAAAAAAAGAAAGTTTATAGCATTTCATTTTATAATAATTTTTTTTTACTTTTATCATAAATATCCAATTATTAGGTGGAGTATGTGGCATATCCTTGATATAAGGTGGTTGAGGACATATATTGAGAAGAACTTCTAACGGAGGACCCTAGAATAGAATATTTGATAAGAGAAGAATATTTTATAAATTTACTTTGATTGTTCTATGATCAACTCCGTTTCTTTTGCAATCATCATCATAAAGATCAAGACCTAAATAATTTACATCATAAAATCTGTATAAGAATTTTTAATAAAAAATAAACTAATAGCAGAATCTATGCAAGATTAAAATATAAAGCATGAAAGTCTGTCGAACTAGATTATCATGGTCTATAATGTTTCCATGGTAATGTCTGGCATGATCAGTAGAAGGTCAAAATTTCTACCCTTTATACTTAAATACTCTTTTTAGATCATGCTCCACAAAAAAAATAGGAATGAAGTGAATATTAAAAACATGATGAGATGTCAAAAATTTGCTTTTGTTCTAATTTCGAGATAGATATTCAAGTTCAGCTTACTGTCATCGGTGTTTTCCTCGTTAGATTCTTGTTCGTTATTGCTTGGCAATGGTCGTCGAGCCATATTGTAATAAAAATTGTTTTTTTTTTCTTTTCTAAATATAGACTCAATTAGTTTTTAGAATTAAACTAAACTCTATCAATGTTTGACAAGACACATAAATGTGCAAACTGTATTTTTTGTGTCGAGAAATACAAAAAAAAAGAACACAAGACGTTGATACTTATACTGACGTAAAGTGAAGGTGTTTCTTCCGTGCTGTAAGTCAACAATTCTTTCTTTTTCTTCTTGCGTTATGTCATTGATAGTTTCATTTTTTTTGTTGCATATGCTTGACTCGTGAAGCTATATTTGTGGTAGAAAGAAAAAAAGAACATCGAAATTGGTATCACATGGACGGATGAAGAGGAGCCAATATGCAAATTTTATTTTTATGCGAAAAGTAATGACTCCTGACGATAGAATGTATATGTTTATATATAAATATGTATATATTGAGCGAGAGAGAAATTTTCAAAAATCGTAACTGAAGAAAATAGTATTGTTGATTTATAAGTAACTTAATAAAAGAATAAAAAGTTGTACAATAGTATAGACAATTGAAGGATTTATCATTGAAATAGAATCATTGTATTAATTGTGTCTCTATCTATTTTCGTAATTTTTAATTAAACGGATTTTTCATAAAACAAGCAAGATTTTGAGTAAAGGTTTTTCACATCGGCAATACAGAGAAATAATGTCTAATACAAGTTTTAATTTTTCGAGATATCAATTAATTAAGGAGACTGTTCTATTACGGTTGACGTATCATTCTTGAAGCGAAGTCTTCTATTGTGGGGAAGGATTTACGAAGAAGCATCTCCAACTGTTAAATTACCTTTTGATCGAATACATACTCAAACAATAGACCTTAATGAGCTATTAAAGATCCTACAAAGGCTTAGTTTTTCAGACCTCCTGAGCAGAGATATACGAGTATTATCATGACTAATTTTTACTGTACTACAGTACTAATATATTAGACACTTTGCTTAAACATGCTTCTACCCGACTCAAATTTATATCAATATCAAGGCACTCACTACCAATTAAGATCTCAAAGGTTGAAGATAAATCCATGTTTCTATCGAAGATATGAATTTATTTGACATATTAATTGACTATTAAAACAAAAAAAAGAGCATTCGCTGTTGCTCCAAGATACAAGTATTGATTCATCTAATATATTCATCACACATTCATTTTATGTTTAGTACGTGTGTGTGTAGAAATATCAAATCATTTGTCAATGCTTTAGTCAATAAGAGTTAGAAGGATGAATTCGCATACTTTTCATCATGGATCATTTAAAAGTGATATACCTAACTTAATTTTAGTAAAGATATCAATATCTTGCATGCATATTATACTGATTGAAATAAAATCTTGTTTTTGTTTGAATGAGTCATTTGCATAGAAAGTTTGATTGTCAAGAGCGGTAATTGTGTACTGATCTGATTGAAAAGAAGATGATATATAAAGTGAAGGAAAGAACATCTAGAAGAAGCGTCTTCAAATTTCGCTCAAAATCAATCAACGATGTTAAGCATTCGACATATTCTTTCATCAGCCGTGGAAAGTCATTGCTCGTCCTTTACATGATCAAGTTTGTCTTGATGATACCGACATAGATATCACGAAATGGAATCTAATACTTAAAGTATAGTCATTTATTCATAATCAGTTATCATTACATATCTTGACACATATCAAGATTCATTCAAATTTGATAATTTAGTGTGTCATGTACATATTTATTCCTTATGTTCGTTCATTCGATGCGGATATTGTGGCTGTATATTAGGTGTTGAACATTTTTTCAACAACTTTCATTTCCATTGATTCAATGATTCATTCCGATTTCTTGGTTTTTGTTGATTCTAGTCTGATTTATAATCATTTTATTCACAATAGATCATATGATGAAAAGTACACGAATTCATTCTTGCAATTCTTATTAATTAAAGCACCGAAAAATGTCAGATGAATCAACACTTGTATCTTTAAGCAAGAGCACATGCTTTTTTGTTTGTTTTAATAATCAATTAATATGTCAAACAAATTCATATCTTCGATAGAAACATGGATTTATCTTCAAACTTTAAGATATTAATTGGTACTGAGTGTCTTAATATTGATATATTTTTGAGTCGGATAGGAGCATGTTTAGGCAAAGTATCGAATATATTGTGTACTGTAGTACGGCAAAGCTAGTAATAGTAGAAATCATAAATCTGTGCCTAGGAGGCCTGAACAACCAAATCTTTGTAGGGTTTTTAATATCGCATTAATGCCTAGTGTTTGAGCATGTGCTTGATTAAAAAACGATGAGACAGTTGCGACCGGTTTCCTCCTCAGTGAGTAAGTACATTTGACATTGATTAGTTATTTGTCGACAGACACGCTGCAAGAAAATGACCTACTATTTATGGATTTAAATTAGTCCAAGCCTGACGAAGATTCATTTAATGATGAAAAAAGGTTCTAAATGATATTATTAATAAATGTTTGAGGAATTCTTTTCTATAATTAATTAATTATTAAGTTACTACACAACGATTGTATTGATTAGAAGTCGATTCCCGATTTTAATTCTTATGTTTTATTTGAGGGTGTGAGTGAGTGTCAGTGTGATGGTGAATATGAGTATTGATTTCGAATTTGCTCACACCCACATCCCACAACCACTTCATCTGACCCATACCTACACCCTTTGATGCACTCATTTTGTCATGAATTTTCTGGATAGAACTAAGAATAAAAGATGTACCGAGAAATAAACACTGATAACCAGAGCATCACGCACACTAATGCGAACACTATAAAAGAAACTACAACATTTCCCTCCAGTAACTAGTGTCTTTCAAAACTACCTCAAAATTAAAAAAGAAAGTTAGTTAAATTATTAACGTTTATCGAATTTGGTTTTAGAAAGCACTACATGAAAGACAAACTAAGTAGTTTTACTTATTAGTTCTCTCATTATAAGTAGAAATATCATTTAATTTATTATGATAAGAAGAACTAAAGATGCCTGATGAGACTTGTGAGGAAGTTTGAATCTGAACTTGTTTTTGTTTCCATGATATTATGCTGCGTCCTTCAGTAGGATTGCGGCGCAAAATATATCACTTTAGTTAGGTTTTATTATTTTTCAGAAAAAAAAACAATGCATGACTTGTTTTCTAGTGCAGTGAATAGTTGCCGTTATGTACAAAACATTTTTTAAAAACATCGATTTGCCAAATATTATTATAACCTTTTGCCTCATGCCTATGACCCAAATTGTGGAGCATTTCATGTACTATCGTTCCCGCCCAAAATACTGGATCCAAACCATTTGTACCAGGTGCATCGAGATTGTATCGATTTAAATTAATATCGAATTCGTCATGGGTCGAAAACGTAGACCCATGAGATATAAATGAAACGCATCCAACTTCACCTCTACCTAGTATATGACTTTCTTCGTAGATTGGATAAATATGTATCGTCGGAAACTCATCTTTCTCACCTTTTACTTTAAGACACATCAATTGATATTGTAATAAGTCATGTGGACCATGATAGTTCTTGTGATTTGACAGTTGAGAACGTGACCATACTCCACTTGCCAACTGGTAACAGGATTCTCCACAAATTTCGTACATGTTTTCTTGAATTTCTCGTTTTACCGATCGATTAGCAACAATTTGCAACGCTTTTTCAATGATTAATTTCTCACTGAAGGTAAAACCATCATGAATTGTGTATGTAATTTGAAACGAGTTTTTATTGTTTCGTGATATTGGCCGTCGTGCTGAATAGGATCGGGTTCTTGGTGGAATCCTTGCTCCTCTGAAAGTATTGTTTGTGATTCCAGATCGTCTTGGTAATAGCCATTCATCGTCAAAGCACGGATTTCTAGTTGTTGTAGTAGGAAGAAGTAAAGGCGAAAATGATTCATAAGTACCAACATAAGATGGCACCATAAACAGCCGATAGAAGTCATTGTTTATTATTTGTATTACCACCGAAACTTATTTATGTAGATATTGTAAGTTACTTACTAGAGGTGCATTATAGATGAAAGGATTGAATGCTGACGATGTCATCCACATTGCTTTTGCTAAAAATGAAAATTCTTTTCTTTCTCACATTTATATATATAAAAGATTTTTTCATATTGCTAAGAAGATTTTCTGTTTACTTTTTCATGAATACCATCATCAAAGAATGAATTCTATTATGTTCTTTCTTTTTTGACGGGTTATTCTCTAACTTAATTATTGAAACGCAAAGAACAGTGTTGAATCATGACTCATAACTCATGCCGCTCTGATTTTTATTTTCCAACATAAAACTCACTCCATTGCTATCGAACACAATACAACTTCCCTATACACAAAATTCAGAACAAAGAGTTCGCCTAGTGTGACAATACGAATAATAGGTCAAACAATAAGGAAGTAATCTTGGAATCGTAATTCAAACATAGCAGAAAAGTCCGTGTGACCATAACGGGTCAAAACAGAAAAAAGCATACTTCTGTACTTCTTTACACTGTCTGTTCGTCATATTTCTTCATATGTTCCGTTGCACGGCAACGTAGTGTCATACTGAGTATATGTGAACATGCTCTCCTCTCTCTGAATGACATGTTTTATTTTGTTCTGCAGCTTGTGAATAATACATGATGTTTCCTCTTTTTTCTATGCGCTCAGATTTTCCTACATGTCTTTTCGTTTATCGGATTTCTTATTGCAGTTAATTCTCTAGATTTCCTTTCTTTACTATTATGAGAGGGAATTTTTTTTCACACTTGGAAAATTTCATCATGTAAGTGCGAATGCTTACGGGTAGCCGTGGATATCGCAAATCCACAATCCACAATTTTTTATAATTATTAGTTTCTAAGCTTACTTTTTTGCGTATGCAAGACTGTAAAGACAAAGTAACATTTTTTTTCTTAAGAACCAAAGTGAGAAATGTTAAATACTGTATTTAATGATCATCTTACTACAGAATCAGAACAAAAAGCAACAGACTAATTAATATATTCAACAATATGCATGTAACCGATGGCGCATAATATATGACCTATTTTTGCATTTACTCTCTGTATCTCACTAGAACACTTTATACCCAACTAAATACGTCATAGAGTAGAGCGAAGCATTCCTTCGTATCACATTCTACTGAGAAGTCACATATTACATACAGTGGATCCAAAAATTATTGGCCCATATATAAGAAAAAAAGTTTTGTCCCTAAGAAAAGCGTGTTACGTCGAACCTAATACCACGTCGGGTAGCCTTTCATCTTGATACATTCATCTAGCCGATTTGGAACTGAATCCATGAGCTTCTGAAGAACAGAAAGCTCAATGTTATTCCATTCGTCTTTCAGCAGAACTTGAAGCTTTTGAATATTCTTCGGTTGGTGTTTCTTCATTCGACGTTCCAACTCATCCCATAAATGTTCTATGGGATTGAGAGCTGGTGAAAACGAAGACCAAGACAATGTTTGAATCTTCTTTTCTTTCAGCCAATCTTTAATTAAACCTGAAGTATGTTTTGGATCGTTATTGTGCATGAAATAAAATTCCTTACCAAGTTTGAATTTCTTGATCGATGGTAATAAATGTTGTTCCAAGATATCACGATAGTAAAATCTATCCATGGTACGATCCAAAACGCATAGTTGTCCGATTCCTTTTAGTGTGAAGCAGCCCTAAATGGTCACAGAACTATCACCATCCTTAACTGTTGGTACTGTACATTGTGGGTCAAATTCTTCTTTAGGCGTTCTCCATGCTATTACTTTTTCGTGCGAGTCGAAAATATTGAACCTTGATTCGTCAGACCAAATCACTGTTTCCCAAAAGCAAATTGATTTGTTCAACATGTTCTTTGCGTGCTTAAGCCGTTTTCCTCGATTTACCTTGTTAACCAATGGTTTTTTTCGTGCTACACGGCCAAACAATCCAGCTTCGTGCGCTCGATTTAGAATTGTATTAGCATGCAATGAAATTCCTAATTCGGTTTCGATCTCGGCTTTCATGGTATGAGCTGATATTCGTCGATTGGACTTAATCTTGCGTACAATCAATCTATCTGTTGCTGCAGTTGTCTTTCGTTTTCGCCCACGTCCAAACAAATTGCCGATGCATTTCGTCTCTTTGTATTTTCGAATTATATATCGCACTGTTTCACGAGGAACCAATACTTTTGCAGAAATTTCTCGTTGGGAATCGTTGCTCTGGTAATGTTTAATAATCAAAGTCCAAATATCATTGTTGTGTTCTTTTTTATTTGGCGTCATTGCAGTTAAATATCATAAAACTGAAAACTCGCTATTATTTATACTATTGTCTGACGTTCTAGGACTAGCTTCTACAACTTTCTATAACATTCTAAAAAAAATCGCGAAACCTCTAGGTATTTTGGGGGAAAAAATATTTTTTCTTATATCTGGGCCAATAATTTTTGGACATGAAAATTCCAAACATTGTTACTATTTTATCAATAAAACAAGAATGAAAGCAATTGAAAACCTAAAGTTTATAGCATATATACTGGAGGCAATAGGGAACACTATGATATTGATATTTGGTCTGTCACTCATATAGTTCGCATGTAATAGAAAAAATACAATGATGATATAGGTGCGGAGCAATAATTTTTCGATCCACTGTATGCAAGGGGGAAACATCGTACTTTTGTACTTTCGTACTTTAATGTACTTTAATGTACTTTAAAGTACTTTAAGGTACTTTAAAGTACTTTAAGGTACTTTAATGTACTTTAAGGTACTTTAATGTACTTTAAAGTACTTTAATGTACTTTAATGTACTTTAACGTACTTTAATGTACTTTAACGTACTTTAATGTACTTTAACGTACTTCATGTACTTTAAAGTACTTCATTGTAAGGGAGCGGGATTTTCGGGAAAATAACTATTTATAATAAAGGTTGACGAAAGTAAATCGGGGTCTGGGAATCCGAATCTGCAATCGGTTTCTCAAAATTTTGCAGTGGATTTTTGGGCTAAGGAAGAAGTATTTTCGGGAAATAACGATTTTCTANATGAAGATGTTGTGTTACATATTACCGAGCACACTCGATCAACCCCCGCATTTATAAATCCTAACGTTAAGTGTTCTAACCCCATCGTGATCGCTTCATGTTGATCAATGCTAATGCACTGATGATCATTGTTGATTCCTCATATGCTTTTTGTCTTCACTGTTGTATTTCTAGTCAATACAATTACATGTTATATCTAATATTTTATAAAAAAAAAAAAAAACAAAGTTGTGTCTTTTTTATGTTAATTTTATAATTAAAATATGAACGCAAACAAAATCGGATGAATTCTTTTTTTTTAATTGAAAGAAGTGTAAATCGAATCACATCAATGATTGTATATGATCATTAATCTTAATGTATGCATGTAATTCTTAGTGTCATAAATATTGAACTTAAAAAATCGATTAAGTTCCCACATTCTTCTATAATATCTTAAGAAGCCACAAAGGCAAATTGCAAAGAAACCTTTTCATAGTATTAAATAACTTTTCGATCATATCAGTTCTATATACCACTACTGTATCAAACTGATATTTCTTATTTGAAGTAAAAAAATTGTTATATTTTGATATAAAGTCTAATTATTTTCTTATTAGGCTGAAGCAGAAATGCGACAACGTGCTGAATTAATAAACCAAATTCGAGCTTTTGAATTATTACCAGTCGATCGATGGAAACCTGTTGATTTAACATCTGTACCTGGTTATGGTTTACATGATGAAATGTCTTTAGCTGAATTATATGAACGTCTTGAATTAATTAAACTTGAACGAGAAAAAGAACGTGAATCACGACGTGATCAAATCGTTAAAGAAAAACAAACAAAAGAAAAAATGATAACAAATACAGTTCAAAATATAGCTAAATATAGAAATGAATTAACAACACAAGCTGCTATGAAGTAGTATATTATTTTATCTAATAAACAAAAAGAAATTTTTGTTTAATTCATAGAAAACAAAGAAATATAAGTGCACCAGAAGCTATTGATAAAAATAATCCAGAACTTCAACAATTAAAAAATCATTTAGAAACAAAAAGAGCTCAACGTTTATCAAATCAACAACAACGAGAAAGTGTTTCATCATCTGGAACATCTTCTAAACGTTTTTCTTCATTTGTATGATATTTTCTTTTGACTTTAAGAAATAATTTTTCTCTTTTCTTTTTGTTTTTTTTTTGAATATTTAGAGATCAAGTACTGAATGGAATCGTTTTGATCAAGTGGAAAAATCTTATGATAAAACACAAAAACGTATTGCACCATCTCTCATTTCATAAAATACTTTTTTTTAAATACTTTTAAATATTATTATTATTTTCTTTTTTTGAATAAATATTTATTTTCATTAAATAAATTAAAATTAAATTAATAAAGTCATTTTCTAGAATATGGAACGATTACGTCGAAAATTGTTTAAATCAAAAAAATCTGTTAAATCAACAACTAGTGGTAAGATATAGATACATTATTCGTCGTTATACATTTATTTTCAATAGATTCAAGTAGAAAAGATGATAATGATGAAATATATCTTGAACCAGAATATGATGAAACTTCAAATATTGCTTTACATTTTGATGCTATTGCCGATGAACTACTTACTCTGGCTAAGAAATCAGTAAGTACATTAGCATAATATAATAGATATTTGAGACCTGCACCGAAACGATTTTTGCGAACAAAAAGATCAGTACTATTTAATATCTCCATTTTTGGTCGTTAGATGTAGTTAAAAAAAGTGCGACTTCGCAAGGTTACAAACTAAAAGAAGTATTGACGTATACTTGCAAAAATTTATTTTTAATATATGATCACAAACCGATATATCAATAATGTCTCATTGTAATATATAAAGTGTTGCCTTATTGCATTTCTGGAGAAAGATGACGAAGAAATATGTCCCAAAATACCATGATGTTTTCATGAGATATTCATTAAATAAGAGTCTAAGATGGTAATCCGAAATTCTCTGTACATATTCATTTTACAGATATTATTATTTGTTTGAAAGATTATTTTGAGTTGTAGAGCTCTTTTTGTTGAACGTAAAGAGTAATACGTTTAGTACCTCAAAAAATTCCAATTGTTTGACATTTTTTTTTGCAATATTGAACCTGTCAGCCTTAGCTTTCAATTAATAGCACTGTACAGTCTGACTTACTCTTACAAACAAAGCATAAAATCTACAGAATGAAAGGCCCATTGAGAATTTTGTGTTGTCAAAGGAGCTATTTATTGACCATTGTTGAATCAATATCTGATGAAAACATCATACTATTGAGTTAACAATTTCATGTAATTGAAATTTTCCTGGCGCGAAATTGATTTTGTGAAGAAAGTCTTCAAACTTTCTAAAAGTATTATACAATAGTAATTTTGCTTATAGGTTTAATGGGATGGTAGGATATTTTCAATTAATTCGAATTCTTCTATTATACAAAATGTCAAAGAGTCTAGTGAGAATGACAAACATGGATTTAGTGTCATTATTGATCAGCAAAAAATGATTTCAGTTAGATACGAGGTCCTTTTAAAACATAAGTTGATTCTCTATCTAGTTGAAAAATGATCATCAATTTTTTTTCATTTAAAATTAGATAAAGACAGGATAACTTTACTAATAAATAAAGTTCCTCAGACCTAAGCCGAGCCGGCTACCCGACAATATATGAGATGTCAACTTTTGAAAATATTTTTACTTTTTCAAACTGTTATATAGTATATAAAAGCATAGGAATGAAAACCGGTTCGATCATGATCAAGCAATTTATTTTATTTCAAAACGGATGACAGAAGTGGACAGCGATATAGTTTTACTAAGAGAATTCGTTTATAGATGACGAGACACTATGTGACGGAGTAATTGAACACATAGGGAGTAGAATGATCTATCAGAAAAGGCTCATATCAGTGACATATAAATGTATAATTAGCAAAATTGATCGGATTTTAGAGCAAAAATTTTTCATATAAAGTAGGATCCCACTTGATTCAATTTAAGAATTTATGAAAAATATCAAGTTAAGATTTTCTCTCTGATAAATGAGTCAAACAATGTTTATTTGATTTAAGATTGTAATATATATATATATATTTGTTTTTATTCTAGTCTCATACAATTCGTTTATCAAAAATACGTGATGATCTATTAATTATAAAAACAATGATAACACGAAAATTAACTGAAAATTCTAAAGAACTTTATCATGCAAATAAAAAAATTGATTTATTAAAACGACATTTACATAAACAAGCAATTGATACTGAACATGAAGGTTCATTTAGTACACGATACAATCGTTCATTTGCAAGCGATCATAGCGTGGCCGATGTGAGAATTATTCTCACAACGTAAATAGACGCAGCTTGCGCGTGTAGATTTCTAACAAACATAACAACAACAAAAAACACACACACACATAACCAATTATTTTTATTAAAAAACTTCAAATATTCTATTCTTATCATTACAGGTTCTTTTTTTTCTATTCTCGTTCTAGTCAGCATCATGTTATTCCATATGGTCACCAACTAGTAGTATATTAAGTTCATCAGTAACAACTCCAACATTTCGTCGACGTTTAGCTGAAGTATCTGTATCAAATATAAATTATTCATCAATAATTCAAGAACATTTTGTTTATTTATATCAACAATTATGTTCAAATTGTTCAAAATGTTCGTGTTATCAAACATTTATACGTAATCATATTGAATTAGAATATTTATCTATATGTTCATATAATGAACAATTAAAATGTGAAAATGATTTATTACAACGTCTATTAGCTGATTGTAAATATTCATATGAAAAACAATATGTTTTATTTTGTCAATATGAACAATATTTAATTGAATATGAACAATGTATACAAATACAATATGAACTTATAAAAACATTTCAACAATTAATTGATCGTTTTCAAATAATATTTGATAAACGAAAACGTGATGATGATAATCATGAAATTCATATTTATCAAAAAATTAGTGATATTACAACTGTAGGAATAAATCAAGACATAGAAAATGCGTAAGTTTTTTTTCCTAGTCTCTACAATAGAAAGAACAAAAAATTATTCAGACCACCTCTGGTGGGGATCGAACCCACGATCTTTGGATTAGAAGTCCAACGCGTTAATCCGCTTCGCCACAGAGGCTCTGTTACATGTTTTTATGAATTCGATGCCAAAATGGAACATTTAAAACAATACAAGTTTTTTTTCCGAATAGTCGAAAAAAATTTTTTTATTGATTCAATTCAATAGAGAATAATGGCAAGTTTTATGTATGCTGAAATTAGCTGTTTCTTCTTTATTTAAAAAACATGTATTTCTGTGACATCATATGTTGTCTTTGTGATGCATTTATTCATTCTAATAAAGTAGAAATGTATAGTACTATCTTCTATTGATTATAAGACAAACAAGGATGTTAAGAAAATACTTAACCCATTGAGTGGACAAAAGTCTTTCTTTTTTTCACCCAAATTTCAGCTACGACACATATTCGTGATGTGAAAATTTTGATGTAATGACATTTGATTTCAAATAACACATTATTTAATAGATAGATGAATCAAAAATAGATGCCTTCCATCATAACTCTCATTATATTTTAAGCAATCGAGATGAGTTTGTTCCTTTCACCTACATTCTTGGTGAATTATATTTATAGGAATTATTTATTTTCTACTATGTTTAATAGCCAAGATTCGAGTGTATGAAGACTTTTATCTACCACTGTACGTAAATAAACGATACTTAATATTCTTAATGTGAATAACGTATAGAATTATGAGGCGAAAGTATTTTTCAAATTCAAATTATTGGAATTCATTGGGTACACCATTTAATATATGTCGGGAGCAACACATATTCTCTCACTCATGTGCAACAGAACGAAAAAAAAATGATGCTATGTATATGTAATCATGAGACGCATAAGAAAAGAGGATCGACTAGGCATTGATATTTACAAGGAAAAAAATAACATTTGATAATAGCAACACTGCTTGGTTTAACATCTTTTTTATTAATTAGTATCGTCAAGTCATGTCAACATGTGTTGATTGGCCTTTAATTACAAAAGTTGAATATAATTAAGTATTGAAAAGAAGAAAAGAGTTACCCAAAGGTGGTCAATATGACATTCCGTAGCGCGAGCCCTGTGCTTTAGCCAATACGTAAAAATTCACTGAATTCAACAAGGTAAGGATCTCTTTCGTATTAACTAGATATATAATGCCATTCATAGATGATGTTCGCCTATATTATAATCATATATTTTCTTTGTTGAAATATTTCAGATATTCATTGTTTGCTAAATGCCAGTCACCATGGGTGCAGCAGTACTAAAGACTAAGGAGAGAATCTCCTCAGATAGACCCTACACAGAGTTCTAGTAAAAACCCTAAAAGGATTTGGGTTTGACTAAGCTATCGAATTTTTTTTACAGGTTCTAGACTTTCGAAAAACTTCTTTTTTCGAATTTCAATCTGAAACCTTTTGCATATAAAGAACTCAAAGAGACTAGATTCCATAACAAGTTTTGAACAAAGTCTCTTCGAGATATGAAGCTTTCAAAAAACGCATGTTACATATATTATCTATGGAAGTTAGTCTAGTTGAGTTCACTACATGCGCAAAGTTTCAGATCTAAATTCGAACATACGACTTCACCGAAAATCTGAAACCTTTCTAGAAAGTAGACATTCTAAAAATTTGATAGCCTAGTCAAATCTCAATAGGAACATAAGTCCTTTAAGATTTTTAATTAGAACACTGACAAGTATCTATTGACAAAAAATTATTGAAATTGGAAGGAAATATTTAAGAAAACTCTCTCGTAAGCAGATCGAAAAATGATTACACTTGTTGGACTTGAAAAAAAGATCAGTATATGATACAGTAATATACCTTTTTTGTCTTCTTGGTCAACCTTATTTTTCTATGACTTATTTTCCTTCTTGCTATCTTATTTTAACTCAAATTTGATTCGATTATATTCGAACACATGTTGAGTGCCAACAACAAGTCATATTTTAATAGCATTGGACATACTTCTCATATGCAATTTACATTCCCACTGTCCTACAACAATTGGTGAAAGTCCACTAAGAATACTTAGAGGTTGCAAAAATGAAATTGAAAGCTTTTGATCAGGTTCTGATGATTGTTCATATCAGATAGGTTTTTTTTGTATTATATGAATCCAAAATATATAATTTGTATATATATATATTTCTAGTGAACTTTATCGTACGATATCTCTTTTATATGAACAATGTCAACGACATTTATCTCAATTGCCTAAGCGAGCACAATTATTTTCCTATTCTCAAGAACAATTTCATCCTCCACCGAATATTTCTGGTATTGTTGATGTAGCTGATCTTGAAATATCAATATTACTTGTTGATTTATTAACATTAAAACACGAAAATAGTGAATTACGTTGGACAAATGATCGTTTATTACGTGAAAAAAAAGCTTATAAAACTAAAATTGATTTACTTGAATTAACAAATAAATATTTTAAATTTAATAATGAAGATAATTTATTACCAAGAACTTCAAATAATGAACTTATACAACGTGAAAAAACTCTTCGTTTATATGTTTATCGTTTATATGATTTACTTCAAATAACATCAAAACAACTTAAAGAACGACAAATTCATTATGAAAATCTTATATATCAGTTTAAAATACGTCATAGAGAACTTATTGAACATATACGACGAATAGAACAAAATAAAAAACATATGAAATAAATTTTGAAAATATAAATTTATGTGTGTGTTTGGCGTGTAACAACTAGAATTTCTTTTATTATTAAATAAGAAATATTTGACATTTTAACAATTAATATAACTAATACCGGTCACTATATGTGATACATTAGTATTTTGCACTGTTTGATATAATAAAATAGATATAGAACAGTCATTGTTATTAAGGGTTTTTTTCGATTAGATCTTATTAATAAAAAATTTATAAAGATCTATGCATAATTGGTGGTAAAAACTAAATGAGAAAATAATGATTCCTCTTGTTTTTCTTTTGAAGAACTGTAGACATTGTATGATGAAATATAGACTCAAAAATTTTTATTATCATAAAAACGTTTTTGTATAAAAGCTTTCGCTTCCCACCCACACTGAAAAAGATTTGAAAAGTTTTTCGAAATCGATCAATTGCTCACAGTATTTTGTGCAACATAGAAGGAATGTTTTTTCTCGCTCAAAGCACGAGAAGAGTTCAATTTTTCAATTTTTGACCCGTAAAATTTCTTTGAAAAATATTCTTTTTCTAACTTTTGAAACGACGACCAGCACTGGATGTGGATGTAGATGAGTTGAAAAAAAGCATCCACACACTTGCACTCATATCCACATCTGCAAGCACACCCAAACTCACATCCCCACCCCACCCAACCTCACACACCTACACCCTTACTTCATTTTGTCATATTATCAACATGAGTGATGCGATATTTTTTACTTCATATTTGAGTACTCGAAATCAAGTTACTTTCATATGCATACTCTTTTTATCCAGTAATCACTCATACATGAAGTTGCGAGTTCTATTTGAAATATATTAGAGTTTCTTTTGATCTAACTTGAGATCTGAATATTGATCAATAATAGGGAGATCTGAGAATTCAATAAGTTGAAGACATTTGGATCCTTCTTTGTAATCTTCCATCAAATAATGGATGTTAACGAGTTCCAGGTAAGTCTGAAATAATAGCGGGCGATTCTTAGGCAATGTTCTCTTTCGAATTTTTAGTGCTTTTTGTAAAACTGTGAGGGTACTGGCGTGATCGCCCATTTTCGCATGTGTACGAGCAATGTCGTGGTAAATCTGTCCAAGGTATTCATCATTAGGTGATGGACTTAATTCGATAATTTCCAGTGTCTTCATATACAGGATAAGTGCAGTGGAGTACTTTGTCAGGTTGTAATACGCATAAGTCATGGGTCTGTAAATAAGAGCCATGCTAGGATGATGTGGATAAAGAGACTTTTGTCTTGTATCCAGTGCTTTCTGGTGGAGTAAGATTGAACTGGCGTATTCTTTCATGTCGGCCTTGCAACCACCAATATTATTATCGGTTCGAGCCAGATCTGTATGATCGGGAGCAAGTGACTTTTGTTGGATATCCAGTACCTTTTGATAGAATGACAATGCTTTCAAAGGGTCTTCCAAACCACAATGAGCAAAACCAATATTGTTTAAAGTCGTAGTCAAACGAGGATGATGAGATGGTAAAGTCTTTTGTTCTATTTCGAGAGCTTTGTGACAATACGAGAGCCCATTGATATAATCTCTCATGTCATTATATACACCACCAATTGCCATGTATATGGCAGCTAAATCGGGATGTGATTCACTAAGAACTTTTTGTCTTATCTCAAGTCCTTTTTTAAGAAAGAAGAGTGCTTTGGAGTAGTCCATCATGGTTTGGTACAATAAAGCAATGTTGATGTGGATAGTAGTCAAAGAGGGATGATCCGAAGGGAGAATTTTGTTTTCGAATTTCCAGTGCCTTTTGACAATAAGAAACAGCCATCGAGTATTCTCCCATGCTTCTATATGTTTCAGCGATACAATGGTAGGTGTTAGATAAACGTGGGTGATTTTCTGGAAGATATGTTTTATATATTTCTATTGCTTTTTGGTAGAACGAAAGCGCAGTCGAATCCTTGCCCATATACGCATGATTGATGCCGATGTTGTGGTTTAAAATAGCTAGTGTATTTTGATCAAGACAATTATACTTCTGTTGAATGTCAAGTATGCATCGATGCATCGAGAGTGCCGTAGAGTAGTTTCCCATGTTTGCATGCAGTAAGGCGAAGTTTATGTATAACTGAACAAATATCGTGCTAATTCAATCCAGTTATTTTTTTTTAATTCCAGTGCGTTTGTGAAAAGTAAGTGCGTATTCTCTTAATCATCTTTTTGTCGCTTAATATCTTCCAGAATACCATAAATTGTAAATTTGACACCGTTATTATTAGGTATAGAGTCAAGTTTTGTTTGGTAGATCTCTTCAGCTATATACTCACCCATTTGTAGCATTAATTGAGCCAAACGGTGCCATTGTGATTTATATGAAGCCTCTTGTCGAATATATTCAGTAAGAGTTCTAAGTTGTTGATCATCATCACTCGTTAATGTCAATTTTACTTGCTGTATCCCATTTTCCAACTGTTCTATGTCACCTATACGAAACACTGTGTGCATCGAAAATAGGATCTCCTCTTCCATATCACCATTATAACTGACATTATTCAATGAAGCAAACGAATTCGATGTGAGAGTCGGATCGATTGTTATATCGAATAGGACTCCATGTAGATCTGAATTCTGTCCGGCACTTTCTGCATATAGCAGAGACAACTGACGGTTAGTACTTGTCGACAGAAAATTATTAAATGTCATCAGTCTACCCTTACTCGCTTGAATCTCGTCTAGCTCAGTCTTGGTAACTCCTTGACCTCGATACACAGTCAATGGACTATGAAAACCTGACGTTTTTGCATACAATGCGCAGATTTGTTGATGAAGATCTCGCACGAAGAATCCCATTTTAATAATAATTTCAACATCTTGCGTCCTCAGAGCTCGATTCAACATGTGATATATAAAACATTCTCGGGTATACCACCAAATGGGTGAATGCATGTGATATTTTCGATCAAATTCGTCGATTATTACCTTCTGTGATACACTGTCATGGTACTGCTTACGACAGAACTGAACCAGGATTTGCTTGGAATCTTCGCCATATTTCGTACTGAGTAGAATATCTTTCAGAATTTGTGAATACATGAAGGATTGATCAAGCTCATCCGGATTTCGATCGAGTGATGCTGTCGTACGCATTATACTGATCGAAGTTATATTGTAGTCACAATTACGAGTATCCCGTTTGAGAGAATTACATAGTTCGTCAATATCAGTAAAAACATCCTTAAATTTCGTTCATTCTTTTGTCCACATTTCATGCTTCAACTTATTGTCACAAAAGACATAAATTGAGTCGATTTGTGTTAGATCTTGAATGATAGGCACTATTTGTTGAACAAATGAATTCGAAATAATCATGAAAACTTTTTCCTTTGTAATATACGTGAGAAAATCAATGCATTCATCAGTAGTAATGAATGTATTGATCGAGTTAACAATGCTTCGAAGTTTAGTAATCGAATTCTTGTAATATTCATCAGACTCATCAAAGCTGGATTCCAACCAAACAATAATATAATTTTCAACGATGCGCAATGACGCTAATTTAGAAAAACGTGTAGCAGATATACGTATTGATTCATTAAGCTGCGATGTCGTCTGTTTCACGTCACTTCCGACAGGATAAAGCATTCTGTATCTACTAGATTATTTTGGATGATACGCTTGGATTATTCTGTTTCTTGAAAACAATGTTGAAGTAATCTAAAATCTGATCAAAATTGAAGATGATTCGAACAGAATGTCTTTTTCATAAGATACAAAAACTATTCATTTATGAAAAACCTTCCACTGAATCTCTCTGTGATACGAGATGTAAAACCCAATAGATTTATTGGATTGTGGGTGTAAGAGAATAATCTCTTTCTCACACGTACTCCACATTCCACCTTCACACCACGCAGTAGTTGCAGTGGCGTGTGATAATACTCTAACTGGATTGGTATGGCACTCGTTGTACCAAAAAATATGGCTTTTCAAAGCATTATCCAATTGACTGAATAGAAAGGCAATTTGTTTTTAGGAGGGTTTTTTAATCGTGTGCAGCAGTAAAGAGACAAAACAAGTTCTGATAATTGAGTTATCAGCAAAAGTCATAAAAAAAATCAACTTCATAATAAAATGGCGATGTTTGAAACAGTCAATCGTGCATGTGCAAGAGGTTCTAGTCTATTTTCGTTCGCGTTTTATTTTCATTTCTTCCAAATATGTCGATTGTAAAACGTATTTTATCAGTAGCTGTAGGATTCAGCAGTCAGTTTTAAGAGGTACGACGAATGAAAGAGAACATAAAACGACAATACGCTTCTTTACACATATCTGCCAGATTATATTTTTAATTCTTTAAAAATGATTTCTCTCTCTACTAACGTACACTATATGTTACTCTGTAAAATGCATGTTTTCCTAGTAGTAGGTTCCATAAACTTACTAAGATATCATTCACATGATGGCTAAGGTGCTAATAATGCACAATTACAGTAGACATTTTTAGCTGAAATATGCATCACTAGATTCAGTTTTTCAAGCTGATTACGAATATGTCCTTATTTTTTGATTTGACAAAGTTGTCTCATAGCAAAATGCAAAATCCTGATAGGATGTCGAAATCTACAAGAAAAACCTGCTGATAGAAAGGCAACCTGCAGTCTTTCCCCACTCGATTTTTTGATCTCACCAATGTGATTTTCAGATTCTTCACACAAGGGGTGTGGAGTGTGTGTGCGGTAGCGGATGTTGTCTTCTCTTGTGCCGCTCCCACACCCCATACGCACATCCCACATGCACACCTACACCCACGACCACACTCCACACCCACACCCCACACTCTTGAAAATATCGATCATTCAACAACGGTCATTTGTGTTCTGCATGATTAAAATGATAATGTGTTTAAGATAAGACAGAGAGGGAATTAAATATTTTTGTTGTTGTTGAAATCAATGTTAATATATAGATGAATATCAGCTTTTCAATTGTATTTTCTTTCTTTATTTGAAATAAAACTTACACCTTTTTCTTTCAATATCAAGGTTATTATTCATTTACTGACACGAATCAAACTCAAGTCAAAATTCTTTTGTAATACCATATGATGATAGTTGTCGGTATTAATGTCAATACTATCAATCAGATTCGTCTCATTTTTCAATCGAAGACTCAATTCTTTTTGTTCAATTAGTTTGCAGAGGATATTCTAAATAAGGACTGTCTTCATTTATCAGGATAAGCACCAGCTAAACGCACGCCATCAGGACATTTTTTTCTCAATAACTGGATTAAATGTCAGTCTTCTAGAATTTAGATTGACAAGTAGTATATCATCAATAAGAGTGTAGAAGTTGAACAGTAAACCGTATTTAGAGTACAAAAAATTCCAAAAGAAAAACGGATAAATTTTAATTAACTTATCGTTTACTTATAACAGTCATCAATCTATGAATAAACTATTGTTGTTTGTTGATATTCTTCTGTTTAAATAGTCATTTAAGTGAATTCAAAATAATCTAATGGAAGAACACTGAGAGACAATAAAGAAAATGGTAGCACGAATAGTTGTTTGTTAAGTAGGAAAATGCCCTTTCTCTTATTGTCAATATTATAAAGTTTGAATGTTTCAAAATATAGATTTCTGGATAGTTATTAGTATGATCGATTGAATAACAATCGTTTTAAGAAAAAAATCATCAAATAATTAGAAGACTTGCAAGTAATCGATTGTTCTTCTTCTTTATTATATGAACCAACTAAATAATAAAAATATTTATATGAAAGAATTTGAGATAATCGAATGCGAATTGAAATGGAACATCAACAATGAATGATGAGAGCAGCACACTTACTATATTTTTCATCGATTAATAATGACTGTTTGATTCATAAAAATACAAATTATCAAGTTAAATTATTTATTTGTTAGACATACATAAGAAAAACTTCGTTTTTTTTATTGTTTTTCTATGTCAGTTCATCTAAGCCAATATATGTAAAAGAAATTCATTGAAAATTATACATTGTTTCGATTATCATGCGGCAAGGATCTTGGTAATATTCTGTGAATGTTCTATAATAGAAAACAAGAGATTAACTATTATTGTTTTATCTTTCAATAACTTACGGATCAGTTACATGACTATGAAGGTGATCTATCAGGGTGTGGGTGTGGGTGTGAGTGTGTGGGTGTGGGTGTGTGGGTGTGCAGGTTGAAGAAGAATCAATACTCATACCCACACCCACACCCACCCACACACCCAGTATCATCAGGCACCTGATAGTGACTGATGATACTGTATATAATACTATTAAATATGATTTTAGTTCGTTTTCTTCTCCTTTTACTGCTGCAAGAGATAGTTTCTTTCGTAAAACAAATTGGAAAATGTTTTCATTCTTTCTTTCTTTAGTCAACGAATACTGGAATGCATGCGTTTATAATTATGATGAGCAATTTTTTTTCACTCTCTTTTCCACCTTCCTCTCATCGTTATGGGATAGAACAAGCGAATATTTACCAGTTGAAAAATATCGTCCGCCGTGGCCGGCATATTTAGTTGCACTCGCTCGTACTGTGAATAAAAATCGAAGAAAATATCGACGTACACGCTTCTTAAGTCATTTGAATGCATATTTGCACTTGAAAAGAGCATATCACGAAGAAAAGGCGTGCTATTTACAGACGAAAAGAGAAAAATATTTGAAAACAATGATGCAAGGACAAAATATATGGCGTATCGTCCGACCTACATTTCGTCCATTTACTAACTCTTTTCGAGGTATTAAAACAACACATGGAATAGAAAAAGACCCTGAAATAATAGTTAATCAACTTGGAAATTTTTTCGAACATCATTTTTCACTACCTGTTTATGATTCAAACAACAAAAAGCATATGCACTCTATCACTACTTATGAACAAATAAGTTATTTACCTAGCATGCCATTACCTTTAATAACTTTGAACCAGGTCGAAAAACAATGGAAAAAATTTTCACCAAAAAGGTCCCTAGATAGTATGAAAACTTCAGCTTTTTTGTTAAAAAATTTACCATTAGAGTACATGAAAACTATTACTGTGTTATTTAACAAATGTGCTTTCAAGGGAGATGTATTTGAGACTAGTAAACACGCAAAAGTAATTTGTTTATCTAAAGATGGTATTTATCCGGAAGAAAATAAGCTTCGTCCTATTTCACTCCTTCCTAATCTGGGGAAGTGGTTCGAGCGTTGTATTCATGAACAAATACAAGTATGGTGTAGAGAGAAGGGGATATTCACAGATGAACAATCTGGGTTCACACCGAACAGACGTTTACAAACTCGTATTTTGTCAATTTGTGAAGATTTACGTCTAACAATAGCAGCAAGTAATCGACCTGCATTAATTATTTTCGTAGATTTTCTGTCAGCGTTTGACAGAATGTGGTACCCGGCCTTGATTACCAATTTAATAGAGTTAGAAATGCCCTTACCACTGATAAAATGGATATATAAGTGGCTTCAAGGAAGAACAATGGCTATACATTATGGAGAATCTATATCTAAGACAGTAAAAATACTTACAGGTGCTCCACAAGGTTCAGTTTTAGCAGCCACTCTTTTCAGACTTCATATTCACTTTTTACCACAGTATTTTCTTCGATTTTGTTCTCATCTTTTTGCTGATGACTTAGCCATCGTATTGAAAGGTGCATTAGAGAAAAGGCTATCTCATAATATTATTGAGTTAGAGGAGCAGGCTAAATTAGCAATGAAGGCTCTGTCTAATTTCTCAGAAAATTATATACTACCCGTTAATATTAAAAAAACAAAGGCGATGTTAATACACAGTGCAGTAGCTCCTA